CCCACCCCCATCACTATATATTCATGGAATTTGCGAAAGAGGCGTCATATGCTTAGTCATGTAGCGAAGCGGTCTACCGTTGAATTCTATAGGTATAGGTTGCTGGTTCGGTACACCCGCGTTATGTGTTCTTCCTGCGCCAATCATCTCGAAAGAGAGGAAAGTTGTTTGCCGATGTATCGCTTGATGAACCCACCTACCCGTAGATAGAGTGGAACACAACGGAAGGGAGGTGTTAAGGAGGTAGACCACTCAGCCACCCGGTAAAAGGTTAACCATTTACCTGGCTGAGACAGGACCATATAACACTCTCTAGCACTGAAACCTAGCGGGAAGTAATCCCGAGGACCACCAACGTAGGGTCGCCGACTTTAGACGGTAGGGAGGATGCTTTTTGCGCTAGGATTTTTACATGCGAGTGTGTTTTCTCCTTTCACGCACAAGTTCTTTTCTTTTTTTCTTTTCGAATCAGGAAAATAAAGAAAGTGCACAAGTCGGGATTCGAACTCCCGACATGTCCTGCAGACGACCCCACAATGTTATGGAGGAACAAGGAAATAAAAGGGAAGGGAGCAAATTCGTTGCTCCTGGCTTCGGGTACTCACAGTTGTTGTTTGATCTCTTGTTTGAGCCTTCTTAGACCAAGTCCGCTCAGTGCCCACTCGGAGAGTGAGGGAGCGGGGCTGGGATTTTGATTTTCCTTCAAGCCATTTCAATACCCCTCAACGACGCCAACTATCCATATCCAAAGAAAAAAAAATATCCAATAAGCGCTCATACAACGTTCATGAAACGCTCGTACAATGCTCATACACTAGTTGCTCCATTACATTAGCCCACCCTGGGAAGTCGTAGATGCAGATACTCTATCTTCAATCCAATACTCAAATTCAAATAAAGATCGAAGATGGGACTTTCCAAATCAGACAAAATAAGAAAAAAATAAAAGCAACTTGGATCGGAGAAAATAGTTCATCCCCGACAAATACTCCAAACCATCCCCACACCACACAGTGATGACAACCAAGTATCACATCACCAACGACGGAACCAGTCTGAATTAAAACGGGGTTCGGTCGTGGCGAAAGCGCGAGGTCGGGGGAACTGTTGCAACGATAGAAGAAGCTCACACTACCCAAGCACGCGTTTAGCGTACCACTGCGTGCGACGTAGAAAAAAAATCAGAAAAAACATAAAAACATGTAGCGGCCTGAAGGCGGCATGCCATCAAAGCACAGATCCAGATGGGGCAACAGCTATCTGTGCCACAACGCTTGGTGCTCGCGATGTAACGCCATCATCCGTGGAATGGTTGGTCAAACCACGAGTACGGTGTTTTTGCAAGCACCAAGAACCGCACGGAGCATCCAAAACCGTGGAGTAATTATGCTTCGGGAGAGAAAGCTGTCGGGGACCGGGGGTGTCCAAAATGTTTTGGCCTGCTGCGAAACTACTAATGTGCCCAAGCCACCACAGTCCATCCAAAGTTTTGTACCAAATGTGGGCTCCGACAGGTAGCACGGAAACAGGGAAGCGAGCCAACCAAACATCACGCGAGACCAACTCGTACCCGGGAGCAATGAAACATTCGGCCTGATTCCGAGCAAGTTTTCGGTCGGCCGAAGCTATCCGAGCATTACGAGAAGCTCGGTTCCCTTGTACGCGCTGACTAGCGTTACCAGACCAGTAAAGCGAGATGTGTTTTCTGTGTTCCTGCAAGTCGGACTCCCTTTCCCACGACGGGGTCAGCAAACCCATCCAATGAGTCAGGTACAAAACGGCTAGCACACCACCTCGTCCACGTACAATTTGGTGTCCCGAAATATTCTCAACAGCTAGACGACTAGACTCCGCTACAATACCATCAGTAGTCAAATTATACGGGGGAGACTTGCTACTTTACGAGTGCAAAACATATTTCGACAGATTGGCCGGCATATGCGTAGGCAGGTCATCCGTGTCGTATGGGTTGGTACACGGTTTGCACCGCAAGACTGAGACACGACGGCGAGATTCTGGTCCCAGCATGTCTAACAGCAGGTCCAGGCAGAGAAGTTTGCGCTCCACAGGTTTCCCATCCGGTGAATCCTCCGCTTTGGCCGGGCCAACAGCAAGGATCTTATAGGGTCCGGAATAATTAAGCGAAAGCTTCGCTTTGAGCACCAAATCATCGGTGTGTTTCCGCACACCCTGCCGAATAGTAGCGGCGGAGTTGTAGACCCAAACCCAACCACCAACGTCATATTTCGGTATCTGACGCAAACCGTCCAACAGTGCAGAGTTCCGGCGTTCGACACGCGACACCGTAATCGCATGATGTTCCCGCATCAAAGTGTAGGCTCGTCTCTGGTGTTCCACCGCAAGGTTGAAGAAAGCGAGCTGGTCTCGATCCAAACTTTGATGGCCACCCACGCTAGGGTGGTCCAAAACAGAAAGCGGGAGACGGGGCAACCGTCCAATATGCACTTCATTCGGCGTCAAGCCTGTGGCGGTGTTTACCGAGTTGTTGTATGCAAACTCTACATGGGGGAGATGGACGTCCCAATCGTCCTGACGCTCATTGACCACAACAGCGAGCATTTGAGCCATGGTGTGGTTAACACGCTCCGCCCCACCGTTAGTTTGGGGGTGGTACGAACTGGTGGTGACTTGCCTGATGTTCATCAGCTCGTAAATAGCCATGGACAACTTGGAACAAAATTGCATGCTGTTATCCGAAACAAGAGTCACCGGACAACCCCACAACGGCATGTAGCGGTTGACGAAAATGTTGGCCGTTCCCTTAGCGGTAAATTCCGCCTTGGTAGTGGCATACATATCCGCCCGTCGACTGAAACGGTCTGTAAACAAAAGTATATATGCATTCCCACGGGACGTGACCGGCAATGGCCCAAAAGAATCGACGCCCACTACAATACCCGGCCCATTCGGGAGGGGCAGAGTGAGCGTAGGCCAGCGATACCTTTGCCGGGAAGTCTTGCGTGCTTGGCAAATTAAACAATGCCGAAGCCACCAACGAACGGACAAGTCCATCCCAATCCACCAGAAGAATCGCTCCAACATACGTAAAGTCCGAGCGGTACCCAGGCGAAAAGACGCGGTGGCGTGACGTGCTTGTACGACTCAAGGTCGAAACATCATAGGCACGTATATGCGCGGAGTCTTCGAAGGTGGGAAGCGAGCGATACGCCCGCCCGAACTACCGACAGGCAGTGGGGCAGAACTTCGCACCAACAATCGCGTACCATCGTCTGTAGTGTGCAGGCATGTTTTAGATGCGAGGGCGACAACATCAGACAACGCCGGTCGTCGCGCACAGAACAAGCAATCCCAGAATGTATCCGGCAAAACCAGCGGGGATCCCAAAGGTAAAAAAATGTATAGCCGCTACACACTCACTTTCCGACATCTGTTCGCGGGCCCAGTCGGCATGCGAGAATGTATGCACACAACCGCGGAGATGAGCTTCCTCAGCGGCCGTGAGCGGTACCACTGGAGCCTCAGGGTTAGTACCCGCGGGCGACAACACTGTCGGTGTGAGCGCCGCGGGCGGTAGCGGTGGCACCGGGGTAGCGGCAGCACGCGGGGGCGGCGGCGGCGGCGGCAGCCCAACCGGCGCCGAAAAAGGCGGCGCACCAGACGTAAGGCTACCCACGGCTCTCGTAGATTTCGCGGCACCGCCCGACCGGGCCGGCGTTCGAGGAGGCCGCGGCGTCCTGGGCACCACAACGGCCCGTGGTTGTTTTGGAAAATATTTGAGACGGCTGTGAGCCATGCCAGAGGCCGAATTCGTTCTCGCCCGAGTACAAGAAGAAATCAGAGGGCCACGCGAAAGCGACAGGGCAGCCGACGAGGTTCCGACGGTGAACGAGGGAGCGACGTCTGGCTCCGCAGAAACGGAAGCCGGAGGAGGTCCATCGGGCACAGAACCACGGGGGCTGTATCGCAAACAACAGCGAAAACACCAGGAAGCGAAAAAATCGACGAGTCAACTACGGGGGAGGGCGACGGAGCCGGCAGAACCATTTGTGGCCCAAAACGGCGGAAGTCCCCATAGTCATCCTCCATCAAAGGCGCGTGTGCCAACGCGTCTCGTTGATTGTCAATGTCAAGCCCACCCAGGCCGATGTTCGGCGTCGAACTAGAGTGATAACTCCGTCCGCACGCACGAATGAGAAAAACGCCCGCGACGTCATCGACTGCGATACTGGTGTCACCGTGTCTATCCGCTTCGGTCGCCGGCAAGGGCAACCGGGAAAGAAAATCCGCATTGGCGTTGGCAGTGCCTTTGCGGTAGACAAGGGTGTAATTGAACGAGGAAAGACTAGAGCCAACGTTGAACGCGGGCGTTGTGTCCACCCACCTTGACGATGCTTTCCAAAGCCTTGTGGTCCGAATAAATCAGGAAGTGCGTAGACCAAAATAGCCGCGCAGGCGTTTGATTGCCCACACGATACTTCCAGCCTCCAAGTAGAGCACGGTCCAATTGCGCTCGGATTCGAGCGTAGCGCGGCTAACGAACAGAATGGGGCGAACGGAACCATCGGCCTGTTCTTGTTCAAAAGCTGCACCAAAACCATCCACACAGGCGTCACAGCAAAGCCGGAGAGGGCGGCTGCCATCCGCGACAGCGTCCCAATCCGGGAAAGCCAAAACCGGAGGTTCGGACAGTTTCGCCAAGAGTACTTTGACAGCGTCCACCATAGCCGGCGTATAACAAAACTTCGCGTCCTCACGCAAAAAGTCGGCGAGTGGTTTCACGCGCACGGCCAAACCCTTGATGAATTTGCGGTAATACGAAAGCCCACCCAGCAAAGAACGCAGCTGTTTGACATTATTAGGCAGCGGCATATTTGTGAGGGCTTCGACCTCATCGGCACGAGGACTAACACCTGCAGGGGAGATGGTGTGGCCTAAATAAACAGCCTCCTTAGCGCCGACGCGACTCTTAAGAGGAGAAAGCTTCAGGTTGTACTTGCGCAAACACTCCAAAAATAACCGTATGTTGGCGACATGGTGCACGGGGTCGGCGTCAAACACAATCACATCGTCTAGGTACGCAAGCACATGGTCCAGACCGTTGACCACTTCGTTGATGACCATAGTGAACCATGACGGTGCAACGGAGCTTCCCTGAGGCACACGGCCACTCGAAAAGTTGTGTGGGCGTGCAAAACGCCGTAAGCTGAACCGTGTCCTCCTCGACTGTGATCCGGTGGAAAGCGGAGTTTAGATCGAAAATGGAAAACACTTTGCCCTTGTGCAGGGAATCGATGATGTGGTCAACACGCGGCTGCGGTTGTTGGCCAAGGCTGCACAATTTGTTTAGCTTTTTGTAGTTCACGGTCAAACGCAGATTGCCGTCCTTTTTAGGGATGACAACCAGAGGGCTCGCCCACGGCGATTGCGAGTGCTGGATAAGACCGGCAGCAAGGCATTGATCGAGAATTGCATCGACCTTTTTCTCCACCAGAGGGTTGAGCCTATAGGGACGCGAGGCCAACGGTTTCGCGTCCGCGGGCACTTCCAAACGAAACGGTTTCACGGAACAGCAATCGAAATCGGACGGTGACCGCGAAAACACATCCGAAAAGTCACACAGCACATCCGCCAGGCTGTTGATGGCTTCCGGGGTCCAACCCGAGTCGTGTAAGTCAAAAGTGACATCGTGCAAATGTGCAGGCAAACGTTGCCACAACTCGCGAAAACTCACTCGCTGCGTGTCCGAGAGGCGTTCCAACAGTTCCGGTGGCGGCGGTTTCGGCGGCAGTGGGGCCGAGAGATCTTCGGATCCGCAACCGGGATGTTCGAATGCACAGAAGTAACGCGAGACGGCGGCCCATTTTCGGAACGGGTCGGCGGCGTAGGGTCACTCGACCCAACACCCTCGGCCGTCTGCGGTGTGGGATCAATCGACGCGAGCGGAATCTGCACAAGTGGGGCAGTCGCCACTCCAAGCACGTCACCGGGCTCCAACTCGGCGCACCCTGTCAACGGGATGTGTTGATGCCCGTCCGAAACAAACGCGTCCGACGCCGAAAGGGCGCCGTGTTTCGGTAAAAACGTGACAAGATGTTGCCGGTGAGAGCAGGAGTGCCGGAATCGCGACCGAGGTTCACCCTCGTCAATCTGGGTTTATCGGAAAGGGAGACACCGTTCCTGCCGGCGTACCGCAGGAAGTAAGATGCCCCGGGGGCGGAGGGTCCAGCGACATACGCGGAAGCTCCCGCCGCAAAATCCGACGACAGAGAAAGTTTCTCCATGATGCGTCCACTCGCCAACCGCGTGGGCAAAGTAGTGGACAAACGAGAGTAAAAACGCCTCCAACTATCACGTCCGAGGAGGAGGGTGTGACCCATGGCGGCAGCTGGGACAACATACACCCACACCGCTAGTGAAGCGGTGGCACTATCACCATAAAAAAATTGAACGGACAGCCGCACGGATGAGGTGGTTTCGAGAGCATTGCCAGAACCAAAACCACCCCACTGCCGAACGGGCACCGAACGACGACTGTGGACAGATGCAGCTCCTGACGCCTCCNGCACGGATGAGGTGGTTTCGAGTGCTTTGCCAGAACCAAAACCACCCCACTGCCGAACGGGCACCGAACGACGACTGTGGACAGATGCAGTTCCTGACGCCTCCATGGCCTCAAGAAAAGCATCAGTAATGAAAGATGAAGGTGAGCCCGAGTCCAAAAGGGCTACACCAGGCGCTGTACACACGGCTCCTGTACCACTATGCACAGGGACTCGCGTCGTAGAGGTATCGCAATCCACTAAAATATCACCGCTCACCAAATCTGAACCGTGTTCCGCCAACAGCGGCGGTGGGGAAACGGCGGCTTCGCGAAAAGCAGCAGAGGCAATGTGCAGCACCTGTTTCGAGTGGTCCGAGGGCGTGTTCGCTGGCACGCCCAAGGGGCCACGCGCGTCCTCGGAAGGGGGATCGTCAGCTGAAGAATCCTCCCCCGGGGGTGAAATTTCGTGTATAGTGGGACACACGGGGGCAGATTGCCCCGAGTCTTCAGGGCGTAAAGGTTTTTCGGGTTCGACCGGTCGCACACGCAGAAGCGTGCGCGTCGCAACAAGCGCTTTGCCCAAGAGGTTTTTACCAGTCCACTTGGAGGGCGACGCCGCACGCGGATCGAAGGCATCAACACCAATGTCCCACAATCCGTCATAAGGGCTAGCCTCCGCTATCTGTCTGTCACCCGTAGCCAACAATCGTTCGCGCGCGTCAGCATTTTGGGCGAATTTTGCATACAAAAGCGAAAAGACAACATCCTCGCGTCGGAGCTTCCAGAGGGCATGGTCAAAACGGCGTATCTTGCGACCAAGGGACTTGTGTTCCCTCGGGTCGGAGGTAGCCATGATTTTGGCATAAGCGGCATCATCGCCGAAAATGCGGGCTTTCTCCGCCATCATGAACTGCTCGCCGCACACGTAGCGAATGCCATGGACCGAGAACTCACAGGGCGTCCAATTAGACAGAAAGGGCGGCGGTTTCAAAAAGAGGAAAACCTCATCGTTGTAATATTCCTGACTTCCATTAAAAACAGGGGCCTGCCGCGCGGGTGCGCTTACCTTCCCCGAAGAAATATCATCAGGGGAAATGGCACCGGCAGCCGGCAGGACAATCTGGGTACCACCCGAAGGCGGGCCGGATTGTGAGTTACGAGGAGAGGCAGGCAAAAGCGGTGAACCAGCCGCAGAAGCGTGCGAAACCAAGCGGTCTACGCGGGCGTTTTCGCGCAAAACGGCGGCGTAGGCCTCATCATTAAAAGCGGCCTTCATCGCGGGCGCTCGGCCAACAGGGCCAGCGGCGGCGGGAGGCTCGGGACCGCTATTTCGTGAAAAAGAACATGAACCTTCCGATTTTGGGAAACCGTTACTTGCACTCGGCAACGGTGGTGCAGTCAGCACCGTGCGACGTTGGTGCTCCGTAGAGGAACGTCGCGAGGGGTCCGGAGGTGGCGCGGTGGGTGCAAGCGTACTCGAGCCACCGTGGCGGGCCTGGGGCTGTCCGAAGTTTCCTGTGCTTCCGCGTGGTTGACGAGGCCACCCGCAGCCGCCGAAACGGTGGGAGAAGCCGAAGCCATGCCTCCGGGGGGCGTAGACATCGGGGCGAGCGTCCGTGAGACACCCGAAGTCTTGTCGGCCCCCCGCCCACACCACAAGACTGTATTCGGCGCCGACGTGTCACGACGGCCATCCAAAACAGGCTGTGATGAGGCGTGGGGCGACATCTGAGAAATAAAAGGTTGGGAAACTAACAGGCGAGCCCGAGGACGTCTGCGTGAAACGAACATCTTGGGAACTAATCGTCCAGCGCACACCTGGTGCTGTTGACGGTGATGTGTGCAAAAGGCCGTCACCGGCATGTCAGTTACCCCGCGAGTGCGGGGTTCCGGAACTCCGAGTATGCGGAGTTCCAGGAACGGCGGCGGGCTCCGAGGCCGCGACGGCGCCTACGGCCGGCGCCGGAGGGTGTGTGTGTTTGTTTGAGCGATGTTTCCCAGAGCGGCGGCCGTCGCCCTGTGTATGGCCGCTGCTCTTACCCAGGTTATTTTTATTGTGCACACGCGTGCGGTGGGATTTCATGCGGCTCTGCCAACGTTGAATAACATTGACGCTATCAGCATGCGAAGCAATGGCCGGGTTTAAGAGGCCGGCGTAATTGGTGAAAGCATAAGGGCATGTTTTGAGGCTGTGTCCCGCCTGCCCGCAGTTTAGACATTGGCCGGAAAATTGCCGCAGAGCTTGTGCTCGGTCGGCGGGTGTCAACAGCGGTGTGAACAGATGGGGGTCCATCTTTGCCATACTCACCACGACGCTGTACACAAAGCCGTAGTAACCACGCAATGGCCAGCAGTCATAGTCCTGCTCGAAGGGACATGTGTTATCGGGCGGCACAGGGTCGATGGCCATCACCCCGGCGGGAAATCGTGGTCCCGAGCTTCCCGCGGCCGCTGGCCATGTTGGTCGAGCGCCCGCGATGAAGGCCGCTTTTAATGAACAGGCCTAAGCCGACGTTTTGCGCGAAAACGCCCGCGTAGACCGCTTGGTTTCGCACGCTTCTGCGGCTGGTTCACCGCTTTTGCCTGCCTCTCCTCGTAACTCGCAATCCGGCCCGCCTTCGGGTGGCACCCAGATTGTCCTGCCGGTTGCCGGCAGCCACCCGGTAAAAGGTTAACCATTTCCCCGTTGAGACAGGACCTTATAACAGGGGGGAAAGCCCACACATTTTTTTTTCTTCTCTCCTCCTTCACACCATCCGCGCGTAACCGCTTTCATGACTCGGCACGTTATGCCCTCTCGGCCTGTAACCCCCCCACGTTATCCCATGTAATAACCCCTCGTTGGCCTTAGGTTACACAACGCCCCAGTACAACCGTGCCCACTGGCCACCTGTTACACTATAGTCGACTCCGCTTTAAGGAAATATATGGTTTTGCTTCGAAAAATGTTTCCTTAGCGCGGGGAAGTTCCCTTAAACTTCAGGGGATCAGAACGCACCATCCCCGGGGTCAGTGGTGGCGGTACATATGTATGTCCTTTGTATTGCCTTCGGCCTCTGTGCTGTGTCTCTTTTTTTCATGACCTCCCTGCCTACTCTGCTGTGTTGGGTACCTTGATCTCGCTTTGCTGTTGCCTTTGTTTTTGTACGTCTGGCTGTCTGCCCATCTGCCGCCTCTTTGCCCTGTTTGCTCCGTTACTCCCATGCCCTGGTGCGTGGTGCCTGGTGCTGGTACGTTACCCTTTGATTTTTTCTTTGGGCGGGTGTGGGAAGCGTCCTCCTTTATATTTGTCTTGTATTTTGATCGGTGTCCGAGGGCTCTTTTCTCGAACGGTCGGTGCTATACCTGTTCTTTTCTTTCTATCATTTTGTTTTTCTTTTTTCGAGTGGTTTGTACCCTATTTTTGTTTTTTTTGTNCACTGCTGTGACACAAGTCGATGGTGTCCGAGTCGCCTCGATGTATCCTTCTCATCTGTCTCGTGGTTTGATGGTACTATTTAGAGGCCTCTAAAGTACGGTTGCAACGCACAACATCCGGAGATGCCTTGTACCTCTATTTAGCTCTGCGTTGACGTGGTATCATCTGTATTCAAGGAGGAGATGTGTACGCGAGTTGATTCAGACTTTAACTTTTTCAATAACAAGCTGTGACCGGCTGATGATGAGCCTTGTGTACGCGAGTTGATTCAGATTTTCACATTTTCAACAACAACAAGCTGTGACGGGCTGATTGATGATGAGCCTTGATCTCATTCGGCTGGGGCTGGTGCCCCGGCGTGTGACGTGTGACTTCCCACCCCAGGCGGATTCAACCAGCCGTGGCGGATTCAAACCCATCCCGCGACCTATCTTCCCAGGCTGCATGACGGATATGACATGCTGTGAAAACAAGGGTCAAAGTTACGCCGTCTTTATCCTAACCATTAACTCGGATTATTTGCTGTTTTTATTCCGATTCCAGCGTGATCAGAGGAAAGGAATGACATTTGGCAAGTTGAGAGCGTGGACACGCATGCAGGCATATCAAACCACTTCGAACCATGGCAATGCGGCAAGGGCCGGAGTGAGCACGACGGCGTGCCCAAGGGAGGTACCGAGGCAGCAGGTGCAGCAGCAGCAAGTGGAGTGGGCGACAAGAAATGAATGTGAGAGGCGGCGTGGCTAACACACCACATAGACAGCCCGAGAGAGAGAGCAGCAAATAGCGAATAAATGTATGGGAAGAAGAGTTGGAGCGTCGGAGCAAGAAGACCACCACAGAACAAGCAAGCAAACAGCCCGGCCATTTCTTGTGGTCACCTGGCAGCAGCTAGCTCCTCCCCGGTGTTCCAACTCGGGCGTGCACTAACGAATCTGTTGTGACTGCACGTGCGACCGGACGTGTGACAAAGAACAAGCTGTTGTTGCGGTAGCGCGCCGGAATTTGCGAGTTATTGATGGTTCCGTCTTTGGGTCGGAAGAAAAACAGTTCAACAAAAACACCCGAGGCACGTGAAACGACGAAGGGCTTGGTGAGACCAACATCAACTGCTCTGCGTCGGTGGCAAGCGCGGCGGCCTCTGGCTCGCGTCAACGCCCGCCCACGCGTGATGGCCTCCATCGGTGGGCCCCTGGCGAGAAAGGCAGACGGGGGCGAGCGCCGTGCCCTTACGACAACCGAGTGGCAGGAGCAGGGGCATAACAGGAGTCTCTCGGCTGAATCAACTCCAGACAGGCGTGTGGGATCAGCACGCAGGGAGCTGCGGGCCTCCTCCTCCGCTCAGCAGGCTCCTGCGTTCAACGAGGGCGAACCTTCGGCTGCTGCTGCGGCTGCTATCGTTGCACCAGCTGCTGATGGTGCTGCTCCACAACAGGTCTTTCTTTTCGCCCGGACCGAATGTATTTGTTGTGAGATTTCAGTGCCCACAAACTACAGGTGATATCGCTGAAGGATGATTTTCTCTAGTCTAGCCTATACTCCGGATCTGAACAGCAGACAGGATTTCTCGATTTTTGGGGGTCATCGAAAAGGGTTGAACGCAGCCAGCCGTGTAGAGCATGCATGCAGCAGCGAGTGTCGTTGCCAATTGTACGGTGCTGCTGCAGAACGTCTAGGTGTCGTGCGTGTTTAGCCGGCAAGCTATCGTGCTATTACTCATCTCAGCCAGGTAGCCATCACCAAGAGGGTGCAAATCTGACCGTTTTTCACGATGCGTGCATACCACAGCTAACAACGCGTATGGAGTCAGCATACTCTGCTGTAGACCATAGTGCGCATCCCATGTATTCAAGGTTTGGTGCGCAGGAGTAAGCGATCATACGCATACGTTCATGTGGGCGATGACCGGTGTAGTCTACAGCAGACAGCATATATCCTCTCGGCGCTGACCCGTTAGACTGTTGCCATTGGCATGGCTGACGCATGACGACGCTCGCTTGCCTGTGCGCTCTTCCCTGCACATCTATCTAGTCTATCGGTCAACGCTGCTGGGTTTGAACTATGAATTTCGTAGTCTAGACTAGACTTTGTAGAGCATTGGGCGGACGTTCTGTCAAATGCCGGATCCACCACTCATTCGGACCCGCTGCTTCGCTCGGTTATCGAGGATCTCGGTACTGCTGTACTTGTTCTAAATTCGTACAGCGCCCCAGTCGGATGTGAAGGGTAAACAGTAGCTAAATAGTCCGTGGTGGAATTGTCGAGATCTGGTCTCTACTGAAATACCCCAGACAGCGTTCGACGAGGGATGAAAACCTACTTGTACTGCTGCTGCGTATGCATCACAAAACCAGAGGATCCAGGATGGGAGGTGCTGTTGCTGTTTGTTGTGTTGGCCTTTACGTACAAGCGGTGGTCGGGCGCTTTGCCGGCCGAACAGGTTTAAAAAAAATGGATACAGCAGTTTACGTACACCTCTCGTGAACCATTTCATGAAATAGGCACATTCATGAGACAACGGGAGGTGTGCGTGCGTGCGTGTTTGTCTCATCACAAGGGGATTTTATCGTGTCGTCATGCTTATCCAGGTACGTATGTAGGTGTGTCTTCGTCCACAGCCGCTCGCTCAAGTTCTTACTTTCGGGCCCTGTCTGTGTTACGTGGTGGGCCCCGTATAGTGCCGGGTGCCCGGTATAGTGCCTGTGTTTCCGGCTCCGCTCAAGCTGAATTTCGGTCGTTCTGTTCTTTGAATAGTGCCGGTGTGCGGCATAGTGCCGGTGAATCTTGGACACATACATACCGGCACTATGCAGGGCCCGCTACTAGCTGAATGTTGTGGCTCCTTTTTTTTTAAACGGATGTTGCAGCAGCAGCAGCAGCAGCAGCAGCAGCAGCAGCAGCAGCAGCAGCAGAGAGAGCAGAAACGACCATGCAAGCATCTACCCCAAAGGGAAATAACTATGCCGGTGACGGGGGTCTACAAATAC